AAAACAGATACAATCTAGTTTCACAAAGATGAAGTGCTGAAAAAAGTACATTGAGTTCAAATCTATCCATCCTTGCAAAGCAGAGAGTGAAAAGCAGTAGTGTGCCTCACAAGGGCAACAGTCTCATTTTTGGGAATCTGTCCTGTCCCCAGGAGAGTTCCTGGAAAAATGTAACTGAGGGCTAAAGGCCTGTTTATCAATTAGCTCTTCCTCAAAGCTTTTCTCCATGTAGGCATAGCTTAAACCAGCAAAGACCCTTGTTGAAACTGCTGCTTTTTTCTTTTCCTTTTTTAAAGAAACCAACTCTGCTTTTCTTTCATTCTGTAGAGTACACAGCTGACATTATTACCCACATGCTTAGCAGTGCCTTTGCTGTAATGGATGACGCTAGTACTTAAATGCACTAGGAAGACAGGAGTGGGCTGAAGCCATTTTTAGAACAACGTGCTATTTCTTTTTTTGGTGCTGACTCATTCACTGTACCTTGTGGTATGTTTACCTCGATTTCTTGCTGCTTCACAAGCTGTTGAATGGGTGAGGAAGGAATATTAATCAGTGACACATAGCATTGTGCTCCAGAACTACAGTGATGGTGAGTGCTAGGCTCTTGCCTAACTTTTGGCTTTATTGAAGGAATTACTTTTCTTTGACTAGCATTTACAGTTATTTTAGTCCTGGAAACTGGAAGTGACACTTTTGTATTCATCATTTTAACACAGCTATCTAGTTCATATCCATTTTTTTATGTTAAAAATCTTTGCCCCTTGCTAGTGCTCATATCAGAGTGGAATTAATCAAAGCCATTGCACTGTACACGTGTGGAACCTAATTAGCCAAAACAGCTGATGAAGACAGAAGAGATCTCACAGTTCATTTATTTTTTTCTTAAAATATTTTATATTAAAATTAAAATGACAAGGAAAACAGCAGCAGCAACTATAGCTAAAACTATACAAAAGTGCACTTTACTGCACACATGATCTACTTCGGTTTTTTTGCCTGCTGAGTTAGATGACAGAAATGTTTGGTACCCAGAAAAGCTCAATTTGTCTGCATTCAAAATAGAAATTAAAGGCCTGTGCATAATAACTGTTGCTAATCATTCACAAGATATAATCTGATAAATGCTGTTAGTATACAGTTACAAATGGTTGCCCTCTGTTCCTGAGGTGCTAGTTGACCATCTGGTTGACATTACAGCCCCCCCCCCCAAATTGGCTTCCCACTCTTCCCCTGTCTCTTCTCTCTGAACATTCCCACCACCTCCACTGTAGCAGGAGCGATGAAAATCTGATCTGAATTTGAGAAAAATAATCATTATTTTACAGAGCTTTATTTCAGCTAATTTAGTTCTCCTAAACCATCCACTTTAGGATTAGATGACCATCCATGCTGGAAGAAGGCGTGTTGACTGAATCACCTCTGACTTACATCAGCACACACCCAGTCCGAGGAGATCCCCCAGAGCCAAGGACTGTGTGTGAAGGAGAAGGGAATGTGAAACCCTAAAACAGGAGCCAGAGATGAAGCTTGGAGATGTACCAGGTTAAAGAAATACTTGCTTCCAACTCTAGGACATGACTGAAGCATATAATGTGCAGACACCTTCAAAACCTCTTTTCTCGTCTCCTGTTTCCAGGAATTTGAGAATTTGTTAGCAGCTTCCTTCTTAGAAAGAAAATTCCTTTCTTCATTCTTCAGAGTTTCAATTCGAAGGAAAAAGCAGCTCATTAATTATGGTGGAAGACAAAATGGAAGCCCAGAAACATATGGCAGAAAACAAAGTCTCAAGCACAGGCCTAAGACACTGCATAGTCTTCCAGTTTGGGACTCTGCATGTCAAAACTCTCCAAGGGAAAACACAAGTAGCAATATTTTGTACAGGTATTGGGAAAAAATAATAATAAGAAAACCAATAGATAGGAAAATGAGTTGGCTACTGTGAATTCTCACATAACTAGGTAGCAGAACAAAACTCATATATATATATATTATAAATTGATAATATTAATATATAAACATACAAAATTAATCTTTATTATTCTATGTTTATGTATTCATATATAAGATCATTGAAGGACTATAATTTCACAGATTTACTTTAAAAAGAATTAAAAATACATAGCTGACATCAGTCAGGAGAAATGTCTTTTAATATCATGTGCTGTAATACTTTAAACACAGACACCCTGTGAAGGGCCTTGGGGTCTTATGCTAATCCATTCACTTGTGCACCTCAGGGAAATCTGCTGCTGCATAATCAACTTCATAATCCCTTGAATTCTCATTGCCATGTACCCTGAAGTGAGGCAGTACTCTTTTGGCTAGGGATACTGACATGTTTCTCTACCTTTCTTAGTTTCTCAACCTAATGATTATTTTTATCCAATCATTATTCAGTGATGCTTCTTGCACTGCCATAAGAAAAGTTAAATATGCCTCCTCAGATTTGCAGATAGAGCAACTGAAGTGTGCAGTGATTAACAAATTACATTTCCTGGGTCAGAGAGAAAGTTCATGGAAGAGCTAATAATGGGACATATCTCTGGTTTTAATGATTACAGTGTGACAGCACAGCATCCCTCAAAGTAGAAATTTCAAAACCAGGCATTCAGTTATGACATTGACAGAATGGGGTCCCTTCAATTTGTTTGCTGACCTTGGGCTAGTGAATAAGCCAGCTGCTCACTCTGAAAGATATCTATGCACTGAATGGCATATTCTGACAAGACAGGACACATATTTTATTTTAATATTTTGTAATAAGACTATTCCTTTTATAGAATTCCTTGTATTATTGTTTTGGACAAAAGTATAGATTCCTTACAGTAGTAACTGAGCACTCGAGTCTTTGCAGATTTCCATTATAAGATCCCTATGAATAGGGACTGGGTACTATGTCATTTTTAAAGGGGCTTAAAAACAAAGATCACAAAGTCTTTGTGAAGCAAAAATTTAAACTCATATCTCCTAGATTTTAAGCTGGATGAACCTCCCAGTGGATGAACCTTCCTGATTACTGAATGAAAATTCCTTTCTGTAGTCATCCCAATCCATAAAAAGCATAAAAAACCAACTCTGCGACAAGTGTGTTTTTTTGCTCCCTAAACTTGTCACTGGGCTTGATCTAAAGCTTAGTGATAACCAAGTTTGTGAACTCAGCGTTGCACATTCACTTCAGAATGCTAATATAAGTCGGGAGTAAGGAGAAGGCCAATGAAAAGTAAAACCTGATGGCTTTTGCAAAGCCAAGTGCGATGTAGAGAGGGGGCAGAAGAAACAATGAAACATGATAGAGAAGGAAAGCACAAAACCCAACAGAGGTGTAGAGGAACCAGAGCCATCAGTGTAGAAGTATGTAAAGGAAAGGAAAAAGCTAGCCATATCTAAACTTCTCTGTAATGTCAGAGCTGTCTGTACACATGGTTTAAGAACACAGACACAAGGAGAAGTGTGCACAAGATGCATTTCCAGTTCTGGCTTGTTCAGTTAGATCAAAAACTTCCAGGGAAGTGCAGTCTGTTTTACATGAAAATGTACTTGGATATGATAAAATACCACAGCTGTCAGTCTAGATTGGAATCAGTTTGCATGGCAATGCTATGAGGGCTGCAATTTATTTTACTTTCTCTGCAATGAGAAACTTTCCCTGTTTCAGTAGGGAACATTGATCCTGGACATCTGCATATGCATTTGAAAAGATCTTGCACTTCAAGTGTGACTCATTTCTATTGGACGCCTATAGCTCTGAGGGGAGAGAACTCTGCACAGAAGTGTAGTTGTTGTTGCTAATCTGTGTTTGCCAGTTTCTGCAGAGCCCAGAGGAACTGAAAATCTCCAAATACATAAATCTGGAGTAGAGATTTCCCCATGTTAATGTGTGAATCAGTTAAGCTCTGGAGAAAGAGAAGTTCATTAAAAAGCAATAGAAGAGAACACACTCAGAACAATGTGGGCTTTGGAGGCTGTACTTAGTAAAAATTACCAAAGGAATATTTGCATGCTGCATTTTTTCCAGTGACAAAGCTAGCTGAAGAAGTTATCCTCCCAGCTAATCCTTCCTTTCTTTCTGCTCCACTTCCACTACAGTTCTCTGTGCAATTTCATGTGTTAATGTCACCTGTGATGGGACTGTGCTGGCCCTAGGCCATGTAAATGCTGTAAATGTCTAAAGATAGTATTTTGGAAGCTATTTTTTAAACCTGTGTCACTTTACGATCCAGATCATGGTTCAGCATGATAAATAGCTATGTTAGCATGACTTTGGGGTGGGAAACGGCATTAAGCAAAAGGTATAAAAATTTAAATGTAGGAGAAAGTGGAAGCTTCTTGATTGCTGCTAGAGAAAACAAGTGTGCAGAACACACAAAAAACAGTCTGAGGGCCAGGCCCAAACTATCTATCTCCCTGAGGCACCTATATAACTTTTAACAAGGATGTTGTTATAGTATGGTCTCAAGAGAGGGTCGTTCAATATGATCTTGGGTGACCCAATCATTAAAAGCAAATATGTGAGTGATCATCATCACAACAAAGCAATTGGGTACACCAGTAAATCCATTTTTCTGTTACTTACAGAAACATGGAGACAGGGAATAAAAGAACGCAAAAATAGGATTCCACACAGCCTGCTTTTAAAATCGCTCATTCACAAATGTATTTGAAACAATTTTTCTAGCCCTCAGACTGCTGGCAGAACTCCTCCTTTTTAGTGTGATATATGGATTTTATCAAGGTGTTCAATGTGAACTGCAGAGATGAAAACACAATCACTGACCTGAAACTAATTTATATCACACTGGTTTTATAGTTTTTAATCTGTGCTCTATAAACAAAGACAAAAGTTAGAAATTTCTCACTTTCATGCAATATCTGCATTACATGAGCCATACAGAAATTCTTCGAGAGCTATGCAGATAGATGTTGTATTTTTTACTATGATTATGGCACATACTGTGATGGTCTTTTCATTACAAATCTTAAGAAAATCTTCCTCTTACCTGAAGGTAATGGCACGGCCTCAAAGAAGGTTTGATTTCCTGATGAACCAGAGGCTTATCTAAGTTCAGTGATGATTTGCGATAAGCTTCTTTAGCCTGGCTTACTGTAAGCGTTGACCAAGAACTCCTTTTCATATATTTACTATCAGGGGTCATTGGTAGCCCTTCACAAGCCGAACACTTCACATCATTGTTACTTTTGGAAGTCTTCAATGAGAGATCCCCAAAATGCCCCTGGAGTGCCTCAGGATAACAATGGGATATATGATCTGCATGGTGCCTATTTACCACACTAGGGGTTCTGTAAGTGCTATCACTGTCCAAATTATCATCAGAGCTCCACCAGCTACTCATTCCAGATTTATGCTTGCTTTCTGGTTTTCGCTCCTTGCTTTTACTCCTTTTGCTATGCTTGGAATGGTGCCCATGATGATGATCGTCCCCTCGACTGTCTCCCTTTGTTCCATTAACATTGCCCTTGGATGATCCTTCCAGAGAATGCGATTTAGTAAAAAGTTTCTGGACGGAATGAACAAGATGGCGTATTCTTCCCGGGCTCTCACTGCGTTGTTCCGCAGCTGTTGAGGTCCTCTGGTACTGTAAAGTGTGAAACCCATCCCGGTGAAGAGGAAGTTGTTTCTCAAATTGGTCCAAAAGATTTGCAGGAATACGGTTAATCTTAGGGTTACCGTGAGACATGGTGCAGTCGTCTCTCGAGTCGTAATGTGAGCTGTAGTGCATTCTGGGGAAAGTGCTACTTGACATGTGATCGCCCATTACCATGGGCATCATCATGCACTCAGAATGAATGGAGCTGCGGGGAGAGCAACGATGGTGATCCAGCGGGCAACTCTCCGTGGGGCTGAGAAGATACGACTGCCTTGGCTCCTGCCCATGGTGGATATGGTCGTGGGTGTGTTCACAATCTTCAGGGGATGCTAAGCCACAAGTATGAGCTGAACATAACTGTGGTTGATTGCGACTACCAGATAATCCTTTCATATTCCTCGCAGCAGGAGAGTATCTTTCTTCATTGAAGTGCTGAGAAGGTGACCATGAGTACTGCTGGTCTGTCATGGGAACATATAAAACCTGTGTTATGTGTCTGATTAAAAGATTAACTTGAAAAATCCAAGTATATTGAAAAACTAAACATTTTTTCTCTATTAGTGAGATGGAAAGTCTCACCATTCCTGAAATTTCATTCACCATTTTAAAACTTGTTAAAATTTTTCACTATGAGCAAATTATGGGGTGAATGCAGCCTCTTTCCTGTAGTTCTAAATGTTATGAAGTTATTAATTGTGTAAATTTACTCAAGTTAAATAGATATATTCAGATATTTAATTTATTCTTTGATATTTACAAATCATATGTCAAGCTTTGTGGCTAGTCATTTGAGTTACATGGGTCCAGTTTCTATTTCGTTGGTTTCACAGCTGGATATCTTAATTTAAATGTATTCTTTCTCCACGGAACCATTTTTGCATTATAAATTAACTACATTTTCTTAAATAAATCTCATCTTCAAGATCCCAAGTTCATTCTTCATAAATATAAATAATAAACAGCAAAGAGAAAGAAGAATATGAACATGCTGAAATGAAGCTATAGTTTATATCACTAAACAGTTTATGAATAAGCATTTCATACTGTTTGAACATCCATTATCCTTAGTCCAGAAGTATTATTGCTATTCTCATACATTTAGAGTATTCTCTATTAGGCAGTTTTCCCCTTTTTATTATCAAACTACAAAATATTTATTTAATGACTTTAAATTATCCCTAATAAAACAAATATATTTTGGTACAAGCTACGGGGTTTTATGTACTTGATTATTTGTTCCTATGAATCATGTGCTCCAAGTTGTGTTTATTATACAAGCAAAGCATGATTGCTAAATAAGAGTAGCTTGTAAGCAAAGATTTTGATACTTAAGCTTTTGATTTCTTCTCTTATGCAATTTCTTGCAGCTGTCAAATGCTACAAGAAAAAAAATTTTAAAAGCCCAGAAATACTTCAATTTGATTTTCTCATTCACTTTCCCTCTTCAATTTCAACTTATTTCAGAAACATTTCAAAAGTAGACAAAGATATAGGATGCAAGATAATCCTTCAGAGGATCAGAGAAATGTGTGTTTACACAATGCACTTAGCACAGCCTTTCTGCAAATTTACTCTAAGAATCTAAATCATCTCACACAGGTGCTTGATACAAGGAAGTTGAAGGCCTCAACTAGAATGGAACCCAGACGATATCTATTAACTGGACATTGAAAACCAGCCTGTAGAGATAACACAGTAGATGAAAGCACTTTGAGGAGTTTCTAAGAATATGATAAAGCTCTCCTAAATCATATTGCCACTGCTGGTGAAAACTCCGTGCCTGGATATGTTCATGAGACAGATCAATACCCATATCTCTCTAATTTTACTCAACTAATATGTGTTATATCATGATATCCTCAGTACAGAAGGCAATGTGTCGGCAAGTCTTTAGCATCAGAAATCTCATAACCTAAATGCTCTATATTTCCTCTCACGGGAGATGCTTTGATAATTTTATTACACCCTAATTTCAAGAGAGCTCCAGATAATGTTTTAAAATGAATGCAGCATTAAACTAATAAACAGTAAAGCGTTCTTCAGCCTAGGCACAATCTGAAGCCAAAGATGGATTTAAGGGTCCGAATGTCACCTCCAGAGTTTATCATGGCATGAAAATGGTGGGTATGTGCATGTATCCTTTTCTGCTTCTATTTTGTTTTCATGTCAGTTTCTTTTACTTAGTTCTTGGCTATTATCACATAAAAATAAAAACTCATTACTGATTACTCAGTCTGTTGTGCTATTTAGGTTATAATACCTGCATAAATGTAGTTACAAAAAGGTAATATAACTGTTTCTCTGAAATGATGTAATTTTGATTATATACAGACAAGGTAGTAAATTACAACAGTGCAGTGGGATTCACCTACAAAAGTTCTGTAATTAGTGGTACTTAACCCAGGATATTACCAAACACTATCAGGGGAATAATAATGGACCATGTGTTAAACTTAGTCAGTACTTCCCATAAAGGGTTCCCACAGCACCTGACAGAGATTACTGCATTAGTTTTTACAATCCCATGAGATTAGACAGACAGAAGAAATTTTTTACAGTGAGGGTAGTAAAACACTGGAAGAGGTTGATCTAGTTAAAGATGACCCTGCCCATGACAGGGAGGTTGGACTAGATGACCTTTAAAGGTCCCTTCCAATCCAAACTATTCTATGTGGAAGATACTGTTCTCCTTTTACAGAAAAGGAAATTGGAATACAGGCAACATTTTCCAAAGTTCTTATGGATTTCCTAATCTTAATTTTCACAGAGGTATGAGCCAGAGGGAGGTGGAAGGAAGCTCTTCCGTCAAACTGACAGCACAACAAGAGTCAACCCCAAGCCTTTTTGTCACAATCTTGCACATCCGTGAATGAAGGTAACTTGCACTACACCTCAGTGATGCATTTAGACAAAAAAAGGAAGGGCATGGCAGAGATCCAGAATGAAAGAAAGAGAATAAGAACTCATTTAAATGAGTTCCCTAGCACAGAATTGCTAGTCCCTAGTGATTTCTTTAGACCTCACACAGCATCAAACATAGCCAAGAAGGCTTCAAACCTTTTCATCCTGTTACATCCCTAGGAATATGAAACACGATGATTTGATTGCATTGCAATGCATAATGTAACAACAGCTTTTCCATCCCTCATTACTCCTTGTGACTCCAGCTCAGTGCAAACATAGAAAAATACAATTTTCTGTATGTTGTTTTCACCACCATATAGCATTTTATGTGCTTCATGGAATGTCTGAATTGTTTTTGATTGAAACACAGGAGCTACAAAATGCTATAGGCATTTAATAAGCTTAATCAAAATAATTAAAACATTAATTAAAAAGGTGACATTTATCAAAAATAATTGTCCCTTCTTAAATCTGTCATAGAGAGTAACTAAAAGTAGATAAAGTCCCAAATAACTTAAATGTGTATCATCTAAATTTATCACTTCAATTAGGTTCGAACTCCGCTTAGGACATCAAACCTGCTCACTGTCCTAGGCACTAACTATTACTTTTTCTTACAAACCTTTTGAAAATCTTCAAAAATTGAAATATATAATATAGAATTTGTGCTTTGCACTATTCAGTCAACTTTGTTCAGGAGACCTGTTTCAGGGCTCAAATAAGCAGTTGAGCTGCTGCTGAATGAAGTACTGTGTGGTACCAGACCAGTGTAATTGCCCATGTGTTAGCTTTTAGCCAGCCAACATTGTGTTGGCTTAAAATTCAATTAAGCTAACATGTTTTTCTAGCATTTGCAAAGGGCTAAAAGTGTGTATATGGTCAATGCCCACAGCTCAGGCGATTAATAAAATTTCATCAAGCTACAACAAAACTGGGTTTTTTTCAATCCTTTAAAAAGAAATACAATATTTTAGTATAGCAAAATAGTTTCAGATTTATTTGGTAATGACAGATTGGTTTGAAATTTTAGTCTATATTTTTGAAGATTTTTTTTTTTACAGCAGCTCCTATGTTTGCTATGGGCAATCATTCTAAAAATATAAAAGTGCCATCATCAGAACCAAAGAGCAAAGGGAGACAGAAGAACAAATAAACATAACCCAAAGCAGACAAAGAGATAAAGGAATAGGAACAGAGAAAAATATATTATATGTGAGCATAGGAATGGCTTTTTTTAGGTCTCATCAGAGCAAAATGGAATCTTTCAATTGACTTCAATGGATAGTCCGATAATACCTAAAGACTGGGGGCGGGGGGCGGACCTAGAACAAGACACAGGCTGTTATGTCAGAGAATCTAGTAATTCCAAAACCCTGAAAATCCCTTAAAGCTCTTCTTTTTCAGAGACAACTCTACAGATATAAGTCAACTTTTAACCTCGACAGATGGAAGGATTTCTGTATTCCTTCCTATCTATTTCAACTCTTTCCCTGCTACGCCATGTCCTGTCCTGCTTTTTCCTCCCCCTGTTTTCAGTTCTGGGCTTTCTGGTGCTAAAAGAGTTGCTCTCTTGCTCCAAGCTGAAGTTGGTTTGCCTCTCCTTAGGGTCTGGTCACAATTTTTAGAGCATTCAGGCTTCTTTCTTGTGCTAGTCAGTATCAGGAAAAGAAAGAGAGGTTCAAGGACCAAGAATAATGTTTGAAATAATGAATTAGAATTACTATGAATGTTCTAAGGTAAAAATGCTAAAAAACTCCAAGTAATGGGAAATAAGAGCTGTGCATTTCTAGAGTTCCTGGAACACTGCTCTTGGCTAAAGAGAATCAATATAAAACCACTGAAACTTTTCTGATATTCAAAAGAAGTGCATGTCTCCACAAATCTTTTTGTGTGTTGTATATTGAAAGCCAGCTTTCAGAGCATAATAATGGCTTCTGGAACTAATAAATTATGTCTGATTTTTCCTTTTTTTATTTATTTAATTTCTTGCAAAGCACTTATCTTTCTATTGAGAAATTAATTTAAATTGCTTTAACCTTATAAGCCCCTTGGTAAATGGCTTTCCCATCTGAAACATCTGTGCTAGTTTCACTGGAGAAGAAACAGCTCTTTTGCATAGTGTAACCAGAAAAATGCATTGCTGAAAAGAGATACCTAATCTAGCTTTCAAAAAGAGCTGCTAGACAAAACCAGACTGCTGCATGTTGCTGTTTCACAGTTTTATCAGTGTTGTGATGCATTATGAAAAATATATACTCAGTCTCACCTAAAATTAATAAAATCCTGAAAAAATGGGTACATTAATCAAATAAGTAGATACTAAATATCTACTTATAATGGATAATTAAAATGTTTTAACTGGAAAATTGTCTGCCCAAGGTCTTCATTAAGTAGTACTAGAGGAACACTGTTTCCTCATTAACTGATTATATTATTTTTCTCTGTTTTATTCTAACCTTGAAAATAAATATTTATAGGGATTGAGAAGAGTGCTAATCTGCCAAATGCAAGTAAGAAATTCTGGAAATGCCTTAAACTTCTGTTATGGTCTCATGAG